AAATCACCTTCACTACGTATTTATAGGAATCCGCCTCCAAAGTTCAATGGTTCCAACCGACATCAAACATGAGGGAAACATGTAAATCATCCATTATCATGTCGATAAAAACCTTGCAAACGTTGCCAGCGTGCGGCTCTTTTAGCTGGAGTTGGTGGATAAGTGAGCTGCTGGAGCTATTGGAATAACATTACTAATACCCCTTGGTTGCTCCTAGGGGGGGTCCAGCCCCTGAAATAGTAGACCCCAGTGGCTGTTTTCCAGAGGGGCCTGACCCCCCCATACCCCTTTTGAGCATTTCTGAATGGATAAAATCTAGGGGTCCAAGTCTAGCATTCGTAAACCAAACATTTTTGCTAACACTCAACTTGGACAAGGGAACCAATACTTTGGAGCATTTTGGACGTTCAAAAATGATCAAAGGTCAGGCCCCTCAAATATTTTGGGCATGTTGTGAATATTTAGGACATACATGTTTTATCTGTGAATCTTATGAAACCATGGACCTCCTGGATTTTAGCCATCGATTTTTTCTGCATGCCTCAGATAAGCTGGCCACTTTGAAAGGTTTTCAACGGAGATAAAGTTGATAAACATGTCATAACTATCTTCCCAAGAACACAATTTCTGCGCACCTTTAACGCCAGTTTTCTTAGAGAGATTCATCTATCAAGGTTAGCGGGTACAGATGTTATTTTCAGGCTTCCCCTCCAAGTTTCAAGAGCAAAGATTGGACAAGGCGAGGTGTTGGTTTCCAGAATTTGGTAGCCTTTTTTGGAATCAATTTCAGTGTGCCCTTGATGTGCAGGAGACTTTGTTCTGGATTTACTTTTAACAAATATGATAAAGGTAAACATTTCAGAACTGCCCCAAGTAAATAAACTTAGTGAAAGTTTTTTGACGCCAATTTTGCAGAGAGGTTGATATCTCAAGGTTGGGCACACAGGTTTTATTTGCTGGAACTGAAGATGGACAGGGTGAGATGCTGGTATCCAGGATTTGGTTGCGTGCTTTTTGAGATCAATTTCAATATTTGTCCTTGATGTGAAAGTTCAACAAAGAATGACGTTCTAAAGAGATAATATTGACAGGGTTTCCTTGGCGCGAAAGGTGATAAACATGCCACACGTTTCCCAAGAAAAAAAATGTGCACCTTTGGTTGATGCCTGTTTTGCAGAGGGGTTCATCTATCAAGGTTGGGGACATGGATTTTACTTCTTCTTGGTTTTTTCCTTCAAGCTTCGCCCCGCTAGGTCGAAGCAGCTATCCGGGAACAGAAGAAGCACAGGATTTGGCAGCCTTTTTGTTTGGGTCAAATTCAATATTTTCATCTCAAAGTTCAAAAACAATAAAGTTTCAAGGTGAGGAAATTTGTAACGGTGAGCTTGATAAACATGCCAGCAATGCTCAACACAATAAATTTCATGCACCTTTGTTACAGTTTGATGCCAGTTTTGCAGTGGAATTCATCAATCAAGGTTGTTTTTTTCCCTTTCCAATCCAAGGTGTAGGTTGGACCTAAACTGAAGGGGGCTGGCATCTGAAAATAAAATAGATACCAAGCCTCAACTAAGATAAAAATAAAATTCAAAGACCCAACCTTCATAACATCAAAAGGCCTAACCTCAAGTTGGGATCAGATAAAATCCAAGGGTCTCGCCCCTCTTGAATCCTCTTTGGAATCGAATGCCCTTGAGGGGCCCTGGGGGGGCCCTGGGGGGGTCGGAGCCCTTGGAATTTATCTCACACATAGGGCCACGATAAAATCTAGCAAGTGTGCTGCTAAAATCTGGGGCCCAACCTTCAATTTTACTCAAAAAACTAAAACATATATTCTGCACCTCAGGGGCTGGAGCTCCTAAATCTCGTTGGAACTGCAATCAAAGTAGGTCGGAGCTAAAATCAAGGGGCTGAACCTTTGAAAATATAAGATAGGTACCAAATCTCAAGTAGGATGAAAATAAAATTCAATGAGCCCAACCTTCCAAAGATAAAATCAAGGTGCCTGACCTGAAATTGGAGTGAGATAAAATCCAAGGGGCTGGATCCCCCCCATGGGTCCTCCTTGGAAGCGAGTACCCTTGAGGGGACCTAGGGGGGTCCAGCCTCTTAGAATTTATCTCACACTTATGATCGAGATAAAATCTAGCATGTCTGCAGATAAAATCAAGGGACCTATCGTCATTTTTACTAAGGCTAAAAAAAAATAGCCATGCACCCCAGGGGCTGGAGCTCCTAGATCTCAGCTGGGAGCTACCAACGGGGTTATTACTACCATATCCTGCATGGTTCCTTTATTAGGTTTACTAGTAACAACGCAGACTCCGTGGCCCATGTCCCAGTTGCTGCTGCTGTCTGTCGCGCTACTGTTTTTGAAGCAAACAAGCTCTTGGGGGGCAACTGCGTATTCTTGGGGGTTTATCTAGCGCGGATCTAGCGCAATTCTACTGCCAGAGCTACGTTTAGCCTAGCCGTGAAAACTTGAAAAGCAATTGTTTTGACATATCTTCACAAGTCACGTTTGTGCTGCTGGCCAAAAAGAAGCGGCAATGCGACTCAAAGAAGTTTACGCAAGGTAAGGCTACTGTGGAGTTGCCCAAGCAGGACCGGGAACAACAGTTGCAAGAGAGCAAGGGGCAAAGAAAGCAGCGGGCCTGAGAATAATTATTTCACTTCAATGGCTATGTAAGAGTATCTAGCGCCACCCTAACGCAAACCTAGCACCAAGGTGCAGGAAAACACTGCATATATACAGGACTCCGCCTTCTAATGAGAGCTAAAAATGCGTCACTGCCCAATTATGTATGTCCTTCGGATTTAACAATTCTTCAAAAGCATTTTCAGAACGGGTCCCATATGTCTATATATATAAATATAGTCTATATGCTGTCTATCTTGTCTATGGTCGCTCCTGGCACAAAGTTAGATCCACACTACGGTGAGACGGCGTCTTCGGCGTCGTTCAAATCTTGGAGGATCGGGCATGCCGAGTAAGTGAAAGGGAGCGAAAGTGAGTGATGCGATGTGGAGCATAGAATATATAGAATAATATGAACATATTATATAGTCATTATAACTATGGCAAACTATGGCAATACACCATGAAGCACTAATGTGGCCAATTCGGGTTCGGAGTTTATACTGATTCTTTCGTTTGAACCTTCAAACAGGAAAACCAAAGCATCATATCAGCACGTTCGAAGAGTGAGGGGGCCGGGCTTGGCTCTTGATTCTGCTTGTGAGTGCTGCTATTTGCCGCCATCCTTATGTGCACGTAGCAAAGTCGTCATCCCAGCCGGAGCCATTGTCCTTGTGCTAAGAAGCCGTGACAAAGTTCTCAGAACTGCTGTGAATTTTAGATGCGTTTATCTCTTGTTGTCAGGTTTGAGAAGGCTTGTTAGAAACTAATTTCAGAATTATATATAATGTCAATTGATCAATTCAATCTGCCTGTCACTTTCTGCATGATTTTGATTGTCGTCTTGCGCGCTTCTTTCAAAAGTATTCACACGCAATTTGCCAGCATTGCTCCCAGTCCTTGTAGGGAATACTAGGTGGCATGTCCTGACATGTTTCCCAGCAAGAGCCAACTCCCTCAAGCTTATATTACAAACATTTACAAACAATTGTACACACAAGACTGGGTCAGCCCCTTTGCGGAACCAAGTCATGTTCAGATGTTCCAAGCCTCGGCATGTATCTGCATTATTGTGCATTCAAGCTATTATAAGCAGCGTTTGTTTGTTTGTTTGTTTGTTTGTCTGTCTGTCTGTCTGTCTGTCTGTGTGTCTGTGTGTCTGTGTCTGTGTCTCTGTGTGAGTGTGTGTGGGGACGAGGCCGTCCAAAGTCTTTTGCGTGCCTCCTTCTTTGCGGAGAAGTTGGCCATATCCTTTTTGTTTGACACCTGCGCTCTTGGGCTAGCGAAGCTGGAAGCGACAAAAAAGTCGATCAGCTCTCTGGCCCTGCCTGTGGCTTGTACGGTGATGGATATGGTGATGGCATGGTGATGGATATGGTGATGGCATGTTGCCGTTGTCGTACTTGTTCCACTCGAAAAGGTTGAACCTTTCAGGTCGCTCCGCAAAATTGTCACTCAATTTCAATCTTGGATATGGATGGATCTGGGCCTCCATGTCAAGTTGTTTACCAATTTGCTGATCATCTGCATTTCGTTGATGACTTGGTCTGTCCTTGAAGTGCTTGCGGTCAATCACCCATACTTACGAGGCATCACGAGCCTTCCAATGGCAGGTTCACATCCCACCAAGGAATCTCAGACTGTAGTTACGGTTGGGTCTGTTGTTGAAGTTCCTTGGGCAAAGCCGGATATCAGAGCGTTCTGAACTTGACCCCGGTCTTGCCAGTCCAAAAGAATCCAAAAGAGATATCTAAAGCTTATGAAGCTCGGCGAACCCAGGTAGGTTTTTCCGTTTTTCCATGTTTTTCCATGTTTTCCTCTTACTTTTACTGTAGGTGCGTGTAACATCGTGTAACATTTTACAACAGAAGCTGAGAACCCGATCTCAGTGCCGCTCGAGGATCTCGAGGTGTCTCACGTCACATCTCGGCAGACATGCAAAACGAAATCGTTCAACGTCTTCGAAGGCACTTGGAATACTTGGATAATTAATTACTGTAACTTTTTTCAAATTTATTCAATTCATTTTTGTGGACAGTGGCATGGGAGGGAAAAGGAGAACATGGTATATGCAGTATATGCAAATGACCTTACAAATTACAAGCCTATACAGAATTATACAAAGCGCCCACATCAGAACAAGAACTCACCACGGCCCAATTTTTTCACGTCGCTGACATCCCCCTCAGCGGTGCGCGTAGATCGTGTATTGGGTGAAAACATCGCAAGGTGTTTGCAAGGACCTGTCGCGTCTCCTTGTGAGGCAAGCTCTTCTGCGAGGGCACAAACATGTCATGCCAAATGAAATAAATGAAACATTTAGGTAATCCTTTGGTTTGCTTCAACTGGTGAGAGAAATATGCAACGATATGCAAAGCATCCAACAATTTTCAATATCATTTACTCCATTTGAGAGCCTCGAGACATGAAAGACATTAATTAAAACATCTGCTTGTAGCGAAGCAGAATGAATCTAGGTCAGACATGGTCAGACTAATTTCTGGGACCATTCTAAGGACACCTTTGGGCTGACATCAACTGGTCAGTCTAAGAGCTTCACGGGTCCCAAATTTGAGAACGTAGCCGCGCAAAGCGAATTGATTCGTGATACTACATTTCGTGATGTGTTTTCCGATTTGCATAATCACCTCAGAAATCCATGGTGCCCATGGACTGTTCTCGAAGCATGCGTTCTTGAATCATGCGCTGTCTGGCCTGCTCCAGTTCTTGAACATATTGGAGTCTCTGCTGCACCTTGAGTGCCATCTTGGGAGGAATCAGACCCGTCCTTGGATCAGTGCCAAGTACTCGTCGGAACAGCAGCACATTTGCTTCCGGCGCATGGTGATCGTAGTGCTCCCATCCTCGAGACATGACAATCCCGTGCTGGCGCCATTCCCACTCCTCCATGGTGCGGCCCTGAGGGAATGTCTGCAGCATGGCACGGGGAACAGTGACACGTCTGTACTCATAGACATCGTCAGAATATTTGTCTGAGTAGTCAATGTCTTCATTGATCAGGGCCAGGGGCATGTTTGTCATCCTCAGCAAGTCCATCTTTGGCTCCTCTGCCTCTCTGAGTCTCGGATCTGGCGCTCACGCACCTTCGGGCTGGAGCTGTAACTCTTTCTTGAGCCAGGTATGGCTGAGGCAGGGTGAACAACTTGCAGCAAAACAATTTGCAAAACAAGCATGCAATACTGTAGCTTCATCACACTTCATTGCAGATTCGATGCCTGCAAAAACTCGCAAGCAACTTTGCAACAACAGATTGCTGACAGCTTCAGTTGACTGGGATCTCCGTGCTGTTTGTGGTCCACCCTCTTCAGCGGTCCTCGAGTCTCCAATTACGACGTCAAAAGTGCCAACGTGCAACAAAATCTTGACCCGCAAATCAGCTGCTTTGTTGCTTTCATGCTGAAACATCGTGCGTGGATGGTGATCATGGTGGCAGTGGCACCTGCACCACATAGAAGTAGTTGGCATGGAGATCACCTGCAACAGCTGCAACAAAAAGGCTTTCGACCAGCCAAGTCCACAACATTTCTGCTATCTCATAACGATCTCCAAAGCATATCTGGGCACATCTCTGTCTTCCCTAAAATGTACAAAGTGAGGGAACCATGACATACAGGACAGTATCAGATTGTCAGCGTCTACGCTTGCGCGACCTTCTTGAGACCCATTGCCCATTGCCTTAATCTGTCATACTCAAAATCACACTCAGCACAATCAAACTGGGATTCAGCCAAAAGAATCCAAAAGATTCCAAACGGGGCTATGTGCACGACAAAATATGACGAGACATTCAACACATTCAACACAAAATTGCTGCTGCTCCATGCTGCTCCTGTTTTCCTTGCAGGCCCCATGCCCGATTTCCCCTGGCCTTCAGTGATCAGCTTGGTGCTCGCATTGATCTCCTGGAGACAGCGATCCAAGTCTTCACCGCCCAGGAAGACACACGTTTTCCATCTTTTTCCAGTGGATTCTCGAATAAACATGCTGAAAAGGGCTATATAATAAATACATCTAGATTATGTCATGCAAAACATGGACATAAACATTGAAATCCATTAGCAATAGTCTGTCGGCCTTCCAGGCCAAATCGACCATCGAGTCCAAGTTTTTATCGCTTAGCGACACCTCGGAAACACAGCATGTGTGCTTGAACATTCCATGCAAAATCGAGTCATTCTCCAACCTTGCAGGCAAATCTAAGACCACTCTAAGACGACTCTGAAGGACCATGATAAGTTTCCGCTCAAATTAAACAAATGATCTGGGGTGATGATGGTGTGATGATAAAGTCGGTGATCGTGCTGGTGAGCATGATGTTGTTGAATGTTGTTGACAATGGTCACACTTTAATACAAAAAAGGACGTGGTAAATCACGGTAAATCGGTAAATTTGCCCGCCACATTGTGCCCCAATTGGCCAATTGGTTACCAAAAGGCAACGCTCATCAAGTTGTCATTGTTCTTCAGCGCCTGGCTGGTATGGTGGGCCAGCAGGCTCTTCCATTTGCTTGGATTGGTCCATTTGCTTGGATTCAACAACCCTTCTTGAAGCCATGATATTGGAGAATTCCACCTACAGTTCCAAAGTGTGCATACAGGAGGGCAAGGGTGGGCCAGAGATCTACAAACTATTGCAAAATGCAAACAATGCTGTGCGCTCTGCATTCATTGGTCAGAATCCAGCTAGTTCTATAAACAAGAATCCAGTTGCTGATTCATACTGTTTGGAAGTGCTTCATCGAAATGGTTTGGGAGATTGGCATGACATGTCAGAGTGATCAAGCCCATCTGCAATGTGGCAATGGCAGCGTTTCTTCCCAGCAGTCCTCAATCATGTCTTGACGCTCTTGCTCCGTCTTTGGGCTGGGAGGCTTTGTCACCAGCTCCTCAGATGGAATGCGGTTTCCCATGGTTTCACTATCTTTCATTTATCTGCTTCTTGCCAACTTTTTTGACAAAGAGGTCTTCAGGCATGGCATGGCCTTTGACCACGGGTACAGTTCCTAGTCGTTCCATGTTGTTCCAATTTTATGCGACTGAATCACGCGACAATCTCAGCAAACTCAGCACACTTTTTCTTTCTTTTCCTTCGCTGGCTCCGCATGGCGCTAGAAGGGCTGGGCAACGACTTGGTGCTGCCATGCCAGGGACAGGGAGATCCGCAAAAAAAAACAAAAAGCTCTGAGCATTGCTATTGTATGCTATTGTGATCTAATATGATCTATATATACCATAACCCCCCAACGTACCATAATTGGTGACTTAAATTTTACAAACCAAACGTACCACAATTGGTGAGCCATAAGATGGGCAGAAAACATACATGTTGAATTGCTCACATTCCCAACATATATGTCACATTATATCACATATCCCAATCTTAGGGTGTGAATCTTTGCAAACCCCATGACCCAATGTTTGAAGATGTTGGAGGCTTAACCAATAACACTATATCAATACCCCAATGTTTGAGGAATAAACCATTGTTTGTAATCCCTCATCCAACATCGCCGTGCTGCCGCGGCCTTTCTCGGTGAAAGTTGGGAGCAAGTTCTCGCCAGGCACAGGGTTGGGTTGCTGCCAGTTGGTGGTTCTAAAATCAAGACGGATCTATTTTTTTTTGGGGGGGCCCAGTGTATAAACATATAAAGTTACTCTGTCAACTGGCGCAGCCAGCGCACACATGTGTATGCGGCATACCTTTGTAAAATTTGATATGACATGTTCTGAGGATGTGTCAAAATGCACAAACGTTTAACCTTACCGACGAAATCTTCATCGGTATAGGTCGAAATGGGCAATGGATTGGCCACTGGCGCCTGGTCAATGACCAGGTGGTCTAGCCTTAGATGAAAAGAATTGGTGGAAAATGCATCCCCCTGATAAAATAATCACTGGTGCATGTGTGGAAAAGTTTCAATCAAGTAGCTGGTGTATTTTTGGGCGCAATTTCCAAAGGAAAAGGCCAGCATCAATAGCCTCTCGGGCCAAGCCTAGGCGCAACATGAAACATAACTGAACAAAACTTTGGTTTTTACCCTTCCACCCTCAGTGCAGCCAAAGGAACTGTTGAACGCAGAATGAAATAAGTAATTGGCCCTGACCAAGACTGACAGATTCTCATGAGATAGGATACAACCAGTGCCACTGTTGCGCGATGTGGACATACACGATCGCATGGCCACCAAGTTCACAAACACCGCTGCGCGGAGCCTCACTATTCACATGCATTTAATGCGCCCAAGAAATTCCTGGCACACCCCATTCTGATAAGTACTAAGTATGCTTGCCAAGCTGCGCGCAATGCTCGTCGTGGGGAAACATTTGCGCAACTCCCAGACAAACACCTTTGAGCCACTTCGCTAAAATAGCCGCCTCCTTAGTGATCAATTGCTGACTACATCCACCACGCTGTGAAACCCTGCCCCACATGAAACCAAACATATAGCCAAAGGACAGACCCATTGAAGAACTTCTGCACAAGCGTAGGGTAATTCTTTTTGCCAAGGGGGTAGAGTTGTTTCCTGCACATCACATATGTAATACATCCATGCATCTAAAAACAACGGAATCCTCCAAACACATCCAAAAACTAAACATCCTGTCACCACACCGCTGCAACCGAGAATCAGCATGGAAAATTGTCCCTTGTTTCCTTAGGTGCATTGATGTGCAACCAGTACCATCATCGACCATGTTTTTTCCATTTGGCCGCACAAACTGCAACCCAGCAACGCACACCATGTCTTTTGCATTCCCTGCAAAAGTCCACATAGGCCAGACGAAGCCTTTCCTCTGCAGAATCCGCTTTCCATACAAGATCAGAAGCGATCAGCTCAACCAATGCCTGCAGTGGATACTAGTTACAATTCAAAGAATCAGAGAAGGTCAGAGAGGCAATGGGGAAAAGCAACAAGAAACCAAACATCAATCACCCAAACAAAACTGACTAAACGTAGCTTAAGCTGCACTAGCTGAGGCTTCTGGAGTTATTGCTAAATCGACCAGGTGTAACCAATCAGTCAGAACCATTGATAAGTCGAAGCCAGGAACCCTCACCCATGGATTTGGAAGGCACCCATCTGTGATAAACCCAAGTGTTGTTTGAGGTGTAGACCGATGTGGCGCGCCTTCGCCAAACGCCGAATAAACCAATTGGCCACTAGCAGTGGCGCCACAATACATGCAGCATTTTTCAGAGGTCCAGGAAGTGGTCAGTTTCAAAGCTTTTTGGAGGAATTTTTGATCCCCCTTAAGCGCGTACAAGACACCCCTGTAAGGTCCACAAACTGGTCCAGAAAACTTTCTCTCACAAGGTTGCCCATACACATCAACAGTCATGAATTGACCTGTTTGTAGTTCGACCAATCCGTACACCACCCACGCATCAAGGGTTTCAATTGTTTGTGGCAACGAGTGGTTGACATCCATCACATACACCAAGAACCTTTGGTCCCATGGGGACTTACCCCCCATCAAAGGGCTACTGATTGTAGTCACAGTAAAACTCCTGCGGCGATGCGATTCCGCGTCATCCCCATGGCACAGGATAGGAAATACTAATGATAAGTCCACATCCTTATGCGCAATGCTGCACACATGTTCACTGAGTATCACAAAACTTACCACAAAAAAACATTCTGCACACAATAAGTTCTGACAAAGATCGGGATCGCTCAGGATAGGATGGTTCAAAAACCAATCCCGTGATTGCTGTGCGCGCCAGAACGATTCCAGCACCTAAGTCCAAGTCACCCATGCCCCCCCCTCAGCATGAAGTAAACGCAAATCGCATCTAGGCACACCGGGAGGGCCAATCCATCGTTCGTGGAAAAGAGCTTGATCATAAGTATACATCGCATGGATCCTTGGCCCATAAAAGTTAAAGTATGTGAAAACTAATTCTGTGGCAGGCCCAGTACTAAGCGACCACTGGAAATTTCAAATGAGGTGCAGGTCACTGGGCAAGAACATATGCCATTTTCCCAAGTAGACAGGGTCTGGGCGACTTCGATCCGTCAAGACTAGATCAATCCTGGGCAACGGAGTGGAATTGGTGGCATTGGGATAGTGATCAGATCAAAACAACAGGAACTTCTATACAAAAG